ATACCAAAAGTATCAATTATTTAGATTGGTTGAGAAAATCCAATAACATGTTGCTGAGAAGAAAGAGTTGCTGAAGCAAAAGCATCTCTAACAACATCTTTATCAAAGCTGTTTTTTTTGTCCAGTTTGTACACACAATGCTACATTTCCGTGTTGCTTTATTACAATCACATTATCACACTACTGAAATCATGTAGTTTCACAAAATCTTCAGTAAGGAATGCTTTGTAACCCAAAGGAATAAAATGTGCATGAATTACTTCAAATTTCCTTAAAGTGTATACAAACCCAAAAACATAAATGAAATATATTGTAGCTAATATCAATCCCTAAATGTGGTAGCTGCATTAGTTTCCTTTTTAGGCTTTTCTTCCCGTTATTTTCACCTGGTGGCCAGAAAATCTGTTATTTTTCAACTTCCTTTAGCTGTCCAGCAAATGTAGACGTTAGGGACAAACCATTTAACACTGACAGGGGTGCTTACAATGCTCAGCTTTTATTAATTTATATAAAAATCCTTTAACCTTAAAAGGAAAAAAAATATTACTGCAACTGCTTAAAAAGTATTAGCTGAAATTCAGATTTAATTTGATAGTTAAGTTTATCTAAATCTGCTACTGCATCTAATACTATCCTCTCCACAGGGTGACAATGCTGCTGTACAAGGATGGCTCCATTGCTCCTCCATAGTATAGAGCGACCCTGAGACCGGAAGTGCGTTACTGGCTGTATCACCAGGGGAAAATTAAGTAAAAAAAGGCTAAAAATAAAACTAATGCAGCCACCACATTTATGGATTAGTAAACTGCAATATATGATCCCTTTTTCAATTTAGCCAAATGTTGACTTTTATATACAATCAGACGTACAGTAATACCTTGGTTTACGAGCATAATTCGTTCCGGAAGCATGCTTGTAATCCAAAGCGCTTGTATATCAAAGCGAATTTCCTCATAGGATATAATGGAAATTCAGATGATTTGTTCCACAAACCAAAAATATTCATATAAAAATGATTACAATACTGTACTGTAATATAATACTGTACAAACTATAAAGAAAAATAAGCCGATTACCGGTACCTTCGTGGCCGGTGTGAGGGGGACAAGAGAGAGGGGGATTATTGTGTAGGACAACTTTCACTATCACTAGCGGAATCACTGCTATCTCTTAACTCAATGGAATATTTTTCATTTCGTGAAACCTTAACAAGGAATCTATCCAATGTGACATTGCATTGTCGTTAAACAGACTCATCGCTCGCACTGCTACAGCCTTATTCGGGTGGCGCTTTTCTACAAAATCTTGCTCTTATTGCAAGACATTGCTTGTATATCAAGGCAAACTTTTTCAGAAATGTTTGCTTGTCTTGCAAAACACTCTCAAACCAAGTTACTTGTAAACCAAGGTATTACTGTATATATTTTAAAAAAGGTTTCATTTAAATTCCACATTTCACTCTGTATCTGCAATTTATCTGATTTTGCTGCTATTAGAGCTTAAAATAAATATGAGCACAATTCCATAGTCTCATATAAGCTTTAACATGTTACTGTCTCTCAATTGTGCTCTTGCCTTGTTACCCAGCCATATGCATCCTTTGTAGTAACTACAAGTCACTGTGCCAACGCACTCTGCAAAGGCATGGTTCATCATAGTCACTATCAGGAAGCTGGTCCAGAGCGATGATGTACAGCCAAAGCTGGAGTGAGTGCATGTGTATAACAAGTGGCTAAAAGCTGGAGGAGATGCAGTGAAGGATGAAAAAAGGTACAGTGGTACTTTGCTGCTGCCCATGCTCACAAATCTGATTGTAATGAAGAAAAAAATGCTGACCAAAGACACTTTAGAGTTTAACACTCCCAGAAGTATTCTTAGCCCCCCTGCTACATTCTGTGGTTCTTTTCCCAGGCCCTGACATCACCACATGATACAGCAGTGGTGTAGGGGTGGTGGACTAAACCACTGAGTGCAGTAGGGGACAAGGAAATTGACACTTCTGAATGTGCCACACAAGTATCTTTGAGCATCAGTTTCTCTTTATTACAGTGGAGTTGGTGGCATGGTCAATGTGTGTAGGAGCCTACAGGCGTTTGCATGCGTTTTTATTTAGTGTTCTTAGCACCCTGGAAGCCCCCCATAAAGGCCACCTGGGACACCCAACAAGTAATGGCTGCTTACAACTTCAAAGTCAAAGCTCTTCCACAGTCTCACACTATCATGTAATTGCAGTGAAAGTTAGTATTTGCATACTAACCAGTTTAGTTTTCGGGACTCCCTGGCATTTTAGAGACTAAACCGAAGCTCATGCCGGCAACTCCAGACGCCTTCTTTTAGGTTGTGTCACTGGAATACAATTATCTATGTTAAATATTTGCTTCTAAATGAACCTGTACTTTGCCTATGCAGAACAAAACAACATGTTCACTTTAAAACAGAAGAAATATGATACAGTGCTACAAAAAAATACAATTCTGAGGTTATTTAGCATGACATTTTGGTCCCCCCATTATGTTTCTAAACAGCTGGCTCCAACTCTCTCAGCTCTGCTTCCCTGCAATTCCTGTCCAGTACAACAGTCTCCATAAGCTTTCCATCTTACTAGCTTCGGGAAGAGGGGGGGGGCAGGGGGCAGGGGAGTGTTTTGCCTTGCTTTGCCTGTGTGCATGGGGACACAAACACCAGCTTTATTAATTTATAGATCTATATTTATTGGTGCAGACTAATATAATTTATTCACTTTTAAATTGACCACCGCAGCTGCTTATACCTACCTTTCTTTTGCTCCGTTTCTGCTCTGTTTGCAAAGGGAGCAAAAAGGAGAGGCTCTGTGCAAGCTCTAAGTCGACCCTAGTCAGAGTTCTTCCTTATTTTAGCCATGTTGTGTTCTGATACCTGAATGGCCAGACGCAAAGTACAGATGAGCTTGATGTGAACCCTGTTCACACAAACCCACTAAAATTTGTAACCACACCCCCTCCTCCTAACCCAATCAGGCATTTCTCACAGCTTTGTGGGTTGGGAGAAGAGGATGGCAGTCACAGCGCACTTAGGTAAAGTCAGGCGAACTGGCATTGCACGAGGCCCAGCCTCACTACTATTGCCAAGCACCATTGATGTCACATGGGAGCAAGGGCAGTGCTTCATATACTCCCCCATACCGGGAAGAACCGTGCATTTCTCTTTGCTCACAGTGGTGAATTAGCAAGGTAGCAAAAGGTAGAGTAAATTTGGGTATTTATAAAGTCGTTTTCGAAACATTCCTGGAAAATGTTTCCTCAATTAATGAAATTCTAAACATGTATTTCTTTTAAATGTACATAAGCGGCTGTAGGGGCTGGCATTTAAGTGAACCTGTTGCTCTGTCCTGCATGGCCAAAGCACAAGTAAATTTTAAGTCGTTACTATGGAATGCAGCTATTGACAGGTTTTATATTTAAGCCCAATTAAACCTTCGGTTTAAGTCAATTCTAAATACATTCTAGGTGCATCAACACAAAAGGTGTTCAATATCTTACAGTTTATTTTCTTTCTAAAGCAGACACAGCCTGAGTAGAAAAGCCTGTGTTCTGCTTTAATGCTGCAGAGTGAGACCCTTGTTCTTTGTGGGTAAGCAATAATCTCTCCGCAGAGACAGAGCCAGAGCTTGCCAATTAGTAGGGAGCATGAGCTTTGCAGCTCTACTGACTGCATATCTATAGGTCTGATTCAGTATGGGATGCATTGGACTTCTTGAGAAAGACCACTGCTTTCACTCAGAGAGCAGGGCTCTCATTATTCAGCTGCTGGCAGGGGATAGGCTCTTCTTTCTGTTACCCCAATAAGCACTGGAGGAATAGAGAGGGGAGGGGGAAATCCCTGCAGGGAGCAGGGACTGACAGCCTTTGCTCTCTGTAGAGAGAAGAGACTGCTCAGCTCTACCTCGTAGAGCCAGTGTGTGACAGCTGCAGGTTTACAAGCCAGTTCTAAGCTGCAGGAAGAGTATGTTTTACTCTCCCCATACTTCTCATTTAGGGCCCGTTCACACCAGATGCAGTGCGTTCCAGCAAGATTCTGCTCAGAACGCACTGCCTCACATTGCGGCCGGTTCACTTTTTTGTGGGGCAGGAGGGGGCGCGGTGGTCCATTGAAGTGAATGGCACCTTAGCCACACCCTCTGGCAGCAATGCGATTGGCCCCACGGGGTCTCAAGGCACATTATGCCTGCGGTCCGGTGCGATCAAAATAGTGCTTGCAGCATTTTGATCGGACCACAGGCATAATGGGCCTTGCGATCCTGTGTGGCCGATCGTATTTCGGCCAGAGGTGCCCTCCTGCCCCACTAAAAAGTGAGCCGGCCGCAATGCAAAGCAGTGCGTTCTGGCCAGAATCAGGCCAGAATGCACTGCGTCTGGTGTGAATGGGCCCTTAGGGTTCAATTAGGCTTAAGGTATTACTGTGTAACACAATTGTTATTCTACCTAAAAGTATGAAAACCTGTTAAGTTATTAGTTCCTAGAGATTAGAATCTAGAAAAACTGCTCTATTGTATGTATTGTAAATATACATCAGTTGATATTATACTGTTGCACATTTTCTAAAACCAGGGCAAGCTGAAAACGGGACAGTTTGTTGTGCTATGTATATTTTTTTATTTGTGTGTGACAAATATATATATATATATTTTTAAAGTGCAAAGTTAATGCTATTTATATCACACAGCAGTGTACCATAGATTGTTTTGACATGTGCCGCCTATTTTTTCAAATATTCGCTATAGCAGCAGCTTATCTTTTGTAGTGTAGATATTTTCCAGGAATAATTGTATATAATTATCTCCACACAACAGAAGAAAATGTGAAAGCCTGGTGAATTTTAAATTGTTTTATTATCTACAGATATGTATATTTCACAGGTGATAAATTATTAAAAGCCAACATATTTACCTGTGTAAAAAATAAAACTCACCACTTGATTCTGCACACAGATAATTGTATGTATACTCTGCGCAGTTGTCTTTGTACAGTACACTAGATTTTTACTTTGATTTGTTTTACATTCTGGAAGCATACATCTTCCTTCATGTCAAAAATCAGAAATAATATTAAATTGAATACACTCTTGTTTCACATTGTATTTGTATGTCTGCAGAGAAAGGAACACCCGGCCATTCATACCAAAAACACATTTCCAATTGTTTCATGCTACATGTTATAAAAGAACAATAGAAAGAAAATGTACAAGTGTTTCCGACTGTCCGTTGAACTGAAATGATACTTCAAAACAGAATTCACTTATTAAAGACAGTAAGAGTTGTCATATTCAAAGTCAGTCTCCTGCATAAAATGTTCCCACAAACTATGAAAAACTGTTAACAATTTGTCCACGGTGCCTTTACTTGTGTAGTCGTTTCTTTAATATTGCAGAATCTTATTGGATGGTTTTCTGAAGTTTTATTTATGCCGACCTGATAAAAATAAAGAAAAAATTGTCTATGTTAAATGCAAACTTCACTTTAAAATAAATGAAAAAATCTAAAAAATTAATGTATTATGAATAATTACTGCGCAAACCATTTTATAATTTAACGTTAATAAAAATTACCTTCACATTCAAAACTGCATCTGCTGTCATTTTCTACAACTGTTAAAAAAAATGAATGCAATATGGGGACCTTTTCTGCTTCTGTGATTGGTTGACTGATTTCCCAAGAAGTCTCCACTAAGATATGTCACATTTTAGGCATCCCTTGCAATAGGGATTTATTTTTGGTGAGATACTCCCTACGAATTCATTACAACTAAAGGGATACCAACGCTACAACTTTCCTTATTACAGCACAGAAAGTCCACCAGCTGATTATAATGAACGCAGACCCTCCTATTCAGGGATCAGTTTGCAAAGGACATACTATTATTATTATATAGGATTTATATAGCTCCAACAGTTTGTGCTGCACTTTACAATATAAGGAAGACATTATAATTACAATACAATTCAAGACAAGATGGTAAGGGGGGCCCTGCCTGTGAGGGTTTACAATCTAAGATGGAACAAACTGCTTTTTCTTCAAAGAAACAAGTAGTTTATTAAATCACTGCAATGTACATCTCACAGGGGATTAATTATTTCTCAAAAAAGTAGAGTTATCCCCAAAGGATAAGACGACCATCCCCAAAACATTGCTTATGGACCCTTAATACTAACCCCCAATCTCCATTGATACTATTTCCCCGATGGACCATCTACCAGACATTCCTTCTTTCCTTTCCTTCCTCTCTTAAGGTTTTACACCAAATATCTATGTAATGCATAGGCCTGCATTCACATCTTATGTATATATTACGATGTGTAACTGATATTTTCCTACTACGTTGTTGTGTGTAAAATACCTGCTTCTTTTCTACTGAAAATCAATAAACAATTTGTTATGAAAAAGTAGAGTTACACTTTAAAGCAAAAAGATTATTGGGCTGTATATGTATAAACGTTGTGCCCAGTGTATAGCTGGACAGATGTTGTTCGCACAGCATTCCTGTCACTAGATGCATTCAAGAGCTTAGGAAACTTCTACGCTCCTTGGCTTCTTCTAGGGGTGAGAATGCTGTGCGAACAGCATTCACCCCTATGTGTTTTCATCTGCTACTGTAGGAGGTTTTATTGATGTTGGTTTGCTGAGTGATGTTTTGAGTATGATTTGTACATATAACCCCAAAGGTACTGGTGTTGCCTGTCCTCCAAAATTGCCATTATAGTAATTTATAGAGAATTAAGCCTGTGCTGTGATGCAGGTGCAGGGCTGTAACTGCCACAGTGGAGTTTTTTTCGTGGGGGGCGATGTAACCCCCCCCCCCCCCCAAACACACACACACACACACACACACAAGCACGCACACACACTGGCTTCCTTGAATAATTTAAAGATGAACTCCAGGAAAACTGCTAAATAAACAGATTAAATACATATTTGAAAGCAGGTTTCCTTGCCAAAAAAATTGTATTTGTGTCTATCCAGTTATGAGAGTTGCACAGTCCTCTCAACAGCACAGTCCTGTCTAGCAGGGAGGGGAGGGGGCAGTTTTGCTTTTACTTACAGGTCCTCTTACCACCCCACCCTGTGACTGGTCAGTGAGTGGAAAAGCAGCACACTGATGAACTAATCTCTCTCTTTCTTTGCACTGCAGCACACCTCATTGACTCTTTGGGGTTGATTTACTAACCTTATAAACACACCACGAACATGTATACACCTCTGTAGTGTGTTCCCTCCCAGCATGATCTATGGGTGGAATCTAAACACCTTTGTAGTGTGTACACACCCAGCAGGTGTGTTGTGCAAAGCCTTGCATGAATTGCAAGGTGATGTTGTGTAAATTAGCTCTATGTTGTGTTGCTTGCGTTGATGAATGCAGGAATGTAAATGCATGAGCTAACCATTTTTGTCTAAACTGTGAAGCAGCATTATATATGCATCATGTGCATGATTTTTCCTTATATGGCATTAGTGCAAATATGCTTTTAGAGACTTTTTGGTTGATAAATACGTTTTGCTGTGTGAAAATCACACGCACCTGGTGCGTGCGTGTGTTTAGGTTAGTAAATCACCCCCTTTGTGTTGCTTCTCCCACCCCCTCTTTGAGCTCTTCTGTACAGACTGTATAGTAGACAGCAAGAGGCGATGTATTCATAATCACAGAGCTGCATTAATTTGTGCTTCTTGTCTGGAGCTCAGCTTCAACAAATCAGCAGTAAATTCAATAATCCATTTGAATGGGGTATCCAGCAAGCAGAAGAAACAAATTATGCAGTTTTAACAACATGTAAACTTATTAGGCTAATAGTTTTAGCTGCTAATTTAAACGTGTGATAACCTAGAATCATTTTAATTTTAGCATCAGGTGTTAAAGACTACATCAAGCAGAGCACTACATTTGAAAGCAGATACTTTCAATACAAGAGACAGTATGCACTAGCAACCAGCTTGTAGAAGAAGGTGTTCAAAGGATGTCTGTACCTCCGACGTTACAACTCTGACCACCTAGTACAGCAGGTGACTTTTACCACCTGGTACACTGGGTACCGCCATATTGGTTGGGGACTAAAGGGCTTGTGGGGTGGAGCCAGTTCTTAATCAGCAGATTAAGAGGTCTCAAACCTGAGCATGGTGCAGGGCAGAATTACATCTCCAGTCACATCAGCATCAAGGACATCACGAAGGATGGTGAAAAACACTTTAAATGCACTATATGACCTTATTAGTACTTTTTTTTAACCTTAAACTCAGATGCAATTGAATTTGTGATTTATCTTGAAGCAATTTTAAGAGGCCAGCAGTGAATAGTCTTGTTGTATTTAAAAAAAAATACTGATTGATCTCTACTAGAGCTAAAGACAGAGGGCCTCATGCATAAAAATGTTAGGCCCACATAATCAGGTTGTATGTCACCTTCACCTTAATGTGCATCAGTGTTTCTCAGATCAGTCTTAAATGCCACTAAAAAGTCTCATGCTCTATCTGTGTTCATGTTCCGGCTATGTTCAAGGTAAAATGGTGCATTCCTTAAAAAGTATTCATTTAATTAGTGCTTTTCTGCCTTGGGACTTCACATACGTATCAAATTAATGTTGGGACAGCCATCTTGTGCATGCTCAATAGAAAATAATACTAGGGATACTTTTTTAGACAGGAGCCAATTAACCTACCCTCATGTCATTGGAGTGTGGGATGAAACACACACAAGCATTGGGAGCACACAGAAACTCCATGCAGGTAGTGTCTTGGCCAGGATTAAAACCAAGGACTGCAGTAATGTAAGACAGAAGAGTTAACCACTAAGTCACTGTCCTGCCCTGAATGTAAAGGGGGAATTTATCAAAACTGGAGCAGAAGAATCTGGAGCAGTTGCCTATGGCAACCAATCAGCTTCTCTTTTCAGTTTGTTCAGGTAAGGTTTGAAAATGAAAGGTGGATACTGATTGGTTGCCATGGGCAACTGCTCCAGATTCTGTCTGCTCCAGTATTCATTAATGTGCTTTAAAAATATGCAGTACTAGTAGTCCGTAAGGATGGATGTAGAGAAATGCTAAATTAGCGCATTTCTCTACAGCTCATGCATTTGCTGAACTCTCTGTGGCATATCTATACAAATGGTGATATAAATCTATAGCCTCTGTATTTTCAGGGGCAAAATCTGCAGGAAATATGCCTATAGCTTTTCATGTGTTGGAAGGTATATCACTTCTTAGTAAGTTGTAGATCCTAGGTTGTAGATCCTCATTGGCCGCACGGCGCCCTTGTTGCCATGGCGCCCTGTGCGGCTGCACTGCTCGCACACCCCTAAGGCCGGCCCTGCTCATGGCCATTGGTAACAAAAGTAGCCACCTCCAGAAGGAAGGACAGTGTCGGCACCAATTCAGAGATGATTTGAGGATCTACAGCTGAGTGATACACAGATAAGATACATTTTTGTTAATAGTTAAAGTGACATAGTTAAATAGTTAAAGTAAAAAATGTTTTTCCCTCCCCCAATGTTAATGTCAGCACCTTTTCATCTGTCCCTCCAGCGTTGCGGTGGGTCTCCGATCCAGCGCGGACTCCTCTGAGCTTGCTGGTACTTCCTGTCCCACGGTGTCTGCATGCGGGTGCACGCCGTCCATAGACTTACCTTGTGTCTCTCCTCGCATCCCGGCCGAAAATGTGATCTGCGCATGCGCCCGCCCCAGGATGCTTTGCGGCCTCCCAAGAATTTTCACATTTTTGAACGGGAGCGCGCGGGGAAGACACAAGTAAGTATTAACCCTTTTCAAAGCGGGGTTTTTTTAAAACACTTTTTGCATATATCTACTGCTTGCTAGCAGTAGATATATGCAAAAAAAAAAGGGGGCTTTAATTATCCTTTAAGGTACTTGAATGCATTTTTAAGATTTAACTTCTGAGATTAGTGTCACTTTAATTTAGGACAGGCAGCTAATCATTGGTGTTAATAGGAAGCTGTGCACAAGGGGCATATGCATTTGATGAACTGCTGCCTGATGCCTTCTATGTTTATTAAAGACACGTGCAGCGAGTTTAATTGCTCCAAATATGCCAGTAAATGGACCAACTGTCTGCCTAAGTCAGGAAGGGTATACAAACCAGTACCACACTGGCTACTATGGTGAGAGATCTGCTGGTGTATAGGTAATGGATTGCTCTAAACAGAAATGGAACGTTAACACACAGCTAATCAGAATATATTTGCAACTGTACTTTGTATTTGTTCTCAAGTGCAGAGAAATAACACAGCAGATAATGAATATACGCTTCCTATTAATTAAGCTACTGTGAAGAGAAGTTCTGTTCTATACAGAACTATAGCTGGGAAGAACCCCTACTCATGTCTGCTCAGATTTATGCACTTGTTTTAGGACATTACGCTATGAAGGACTTTTACTGATTTATTAATTCACTTGAGGAATTTGTTTTGC